TCATCCTTGTGGTCTTTATGACTCCTATGCTTTGGTTGTCTTAGTGAATTTATAGGGTCATCATGAGACTTAGGAGAAAGAGCATAAAATGGATCATCGGGGTCAAAGATGGGTTGAGAAATGGATTCAGATAAGACATCTAATGTGGTCATAAAAGGGAGAAGATAGGATTAGCTAAATGACTCAACTCTCCTTCTATAGCACCACTTGACATGCCATCCTTGAATTCTTCCTAATGTTCTATATGGGAATAAGGACGCTTCCTAAGAGATCCCTTCTTGAAAGGAATTGAATTATATTCGCTCGAAGGTCTCTTGTGGAACTGGAAGTTTAAGCTTTTCCCAAAATCATCAAAAAGATCATCCTCACAAGAAATTTTAAAATGTTGAATTTCTTCTTTCTTTGGAGGATTTGGATTTTGGGGTATAGATGGTTCAGGATTGATAGCTAAACCTTAGGATTCAAGTGGTTGTGATTTGGCTATCAAAACTTTCTCTTCTTGTTTGGGAGAGGATTCCTTCTCTTACTCGAGGAGTTTATTATGATTGCTAGTGTAGGGAGTTTTTCACTAATCTTATCAAGCATAGACCTTGCTTCACTAGCAGACAGATGAATGAAAGCTCCTCTAGAGGCTGCATCAAGGGATTTCATAGAATCTTTGCTAAGACCTATGTAAAAATATTGAAGGAGCATTGGGTCTATAATAGCAAGGTCTAGGCCAGTGAAGATGAGGTCATTAAAACGACCCCACGATGTGCCAAGAGATTCTTCTTCTAGTTTTCTAAAATTTAGAACCTCTTTTTGAAGGCTACCCACTTTAGAAGTGGAAAAGAAACGTAAACAAAATTTAGAGCATAGCGTTTCCTAATCTCATTGCATACTTTCTACGGTTTGATTGTACCATTGTTTAGCTCTTTCCGTCAAAGAGAATAGAAACAACTTCCATCTTAAGGTTTTGTCAGACATGCCAGCGATACGCAAGCATGCATAGGTCTGTTCAAACTCTTGTAGGTGCGAGTGTGGGTTTTCGTTGCCTTCTCCCGAGAAGGATTGACCCCGAATCAGTTTTATAAAACACGGGCACAACTCATAACCAGGTGTAAGGATAGGCTCTACAGAATTTGGTGGCTCTAGGCGCACGCTCGTAGGTATAAAAGGAAAAGGATAAAAGAAAGAAGATAAAAGATAAGAAACTAAGCTAGGCTCATAGTTAATTCAGCAACCGTTTCCCCGGCAACGGCGCCAGAAAGCTTGTTGGTATATTTAACGCACACAGATAAATCTGCAAACGCACGAATACCGCTATAGCTTTTACCTAGAAGTATTCCAAGTGTCGTATCCATAGGGAAATGTGTGAGACTAACTACGGTCTAACTCAACTGGGGGTAGCAATAAGGTTAAGATAAATAGGAGCGTAGAGAGAAAAACTAAGGTTTTCTAGTTCTGACTTGGGTAAGCTATGTCTTCTACTATTCAACTGGGGACATTACTTGAGGAAAGACACCAGCAGAGGATGCTTCCCGTACTAACCACGTCCTACTTGCCCTACAAATGGGAGGTAGACTACAAAGGATTCAATGAGGCTATAAGAGTCACCCTCATGAGCTACCACCGATCCAGAATGCATGATGCATCCATAAGTAACCAGAGTCTAAGCACCACGCTTACACTACAATTACTACTTTACTCTTCTCGGATAAAGAATAAAACACTCAAATAAGTTGTGGACCTGATAAATAATATAAATAAGAAGCTTACTTGAATTAGAAGTTGATTACTAGAGAAATCTCAGAGGCAAGCTCAGATAGAACTTGGATCCACCAAGGTACAAGCCGTAGAGAGAGCACCGACAGGCCAACATCAGCTCCAAACTCTTCCCTCACTCTCTATCTCACTATTATTTATAAGACTACATCCTATGGAGGACTAATCTTCTCTTGATAGCTAGCTCTGATCCTGAAGATATGAATTAGGGTTTCAGGGATCTATTGAGTGAGGGGGGTAGGGACTGATATATATAGGCTAGAGCGTCAATCCTAAGTCCTCGGATCAAACCGACTTGAATAAACGGCGAAGATTGGATCTCAATGGCGGTGGGAAACCGACTTTTGAAGCGGAGGCTGACTGGTGGGACCCACAGGCCGGCTGGCCTGTAGGTGGGGCCAGTTGGCCCCATATGGCAGCCCCTCGGGGTCTGCTTCGGCGAAGAGCCTCCTGAAGTCTTCTAGAATCTTTCCACGCTATTTACGAGGCGGAATTCCGTAATTTACTTCGACGAATAGCTCCCCCTTGACGGTTTTCTAGATAAATCCTCCTATAGTCATGAAATCATCAAAGCTCGTGGAATTCGTTAGTTTAAACCCCTATACCTATGTTTGGTGATGGAATTAAATATAAATGCATGTTATGTTGACGGTTTATAATTGGTGTTAGTGACTATCAACACACACATCATAGTACAAACAGAAAAAAGTCAAAATTGCAACATCACAAATGACCAATCGACATTGAAAATCTCATATTGCAACATAAAAAATTTGTAGACGTACCGGTGGAGAGGGCGTGAGAAGCATGTCCTTGAAGATGCGATTTATAAGGGAGTCTCCATGAGTCACCCTTGCATTCAGCTTCGCAGGAGATGCATTGCTAGCCGCCAAGGGAGAAGAAAAAGGCTGACGACTTGACATGGTGGCACCGACTGCTGAGCCACGTTGGCTCCCGCGACGCAACGACGGGAGGGCCAGGTTGCCGATTCATGGGGCATCCAGCGACAATGGGGCTGGGGCGTGTGATGCTGAAGCTCCTGCGAGCTGATTTTGTCGATCTCCACTAGTCATAGCCAATCGATGACGGATAGCACGAGGAAGGTATGGATATAGTGGTGCAGAGCTCCAAGCTCGAATGAGAATGAGGAGAGTAGAAGAAAGAAGCATAGAGTCATGTGGATGGGAAGGAGCCACGTCGCTAATGAAAAGAACGGGTACGAACGCATGGGCTTCCTGTAGAGCTGTCCAACGATTTGCACTGGCATCGGACACACGAACCACAGCATTACCGATATACAAAGGATTCAAAGAGGTGTACAATGTACATGATGGACTAGCTAGGTTGCCACTCTTCAAGAGTTTGACACACAAGTCAACAGCCGTATGTGTGCAGGCAAAGACATAGTTGGATTAGGGTGACTAAGACGCAAAATAGAGATTTGTGGATGACGAGAATTTCATGGCATTTGCCATATGTAGAATGTCAATAGTAACAACACCCTAATTGTTCACTGCTTCATAGGTAAACCCTACATAAGTCCTTACATGGAACTAACATATGGTGACTTCAACTTTGTTGTTTGGATCAGCAGCAAGCAGCATGTCAATCTAGTTTCTACACATATACCAGCTGCTCTGTCTATTACATTCTGGTATAGTAATGTGCACCTTTTTCTGAAATGTTTCATTGCATCTGTACAACAAACTCACAAGTTTCGCGATTTGATTTGCATCTCCGTCTTCCATTACTACTACTTCTTGGAGTGAATCCAACACAATACTACTACTTCTGTGATCAAATTATTGTGCGCCAAGTCACATGGGCAGCTTGACAACTTGCATGGATAGGGCTGAAAAGAACAAAAAATGCTATTTAAGACCAGAAAAGATGCCCTCATCTAGCTATATATCATATCCAAAACAATCATGTTGGGGCTATATATGAGCTATCTAATTAAATTTTAGTTGCATATATTTGCATGATACATATGCCCAGGACGTGCACAATAGTGCTACTGCTGCAACAACAGCAGCAGCAGCAGCAGACAGCCATACACTGCACATTCAGTTCACCAGTGCAAGGCGGTGGCGGTGGCGGTGGACGGATGAAGCGAACACAGCCATATATGCAATTATCTCATGAGAATGAGAGTCCTAGAGGTAGACGTAGAACTTTTAACCAACATCAAAAGGTGAACTATTAATTGATGACGATTTGCACTATTATCAATCTAAAATAACTTGCATAAAAGGGTAAGTTCTTTATATATAGACAAAAAAAAACTTGTATATAAGTAATACTTACCACGAAACCACTCAGTCGCACCACAAGTTTTCTTATACCAACACATTTGCGGAGAAGATGTAGTATTATTGGTTGAAAGGCATGCGACACGGCCAAAATTCTTACAACCAAAGCCTCACACTTGATAATTTTGTTTGTGTCCTCGAGAATTCTCCTGTATTCTTCTGCGCCCTGAAAACCAATTGTCATCAAATTAAACGCTGATATTCAGGTTTAGTTATATTATATAGTTATTAATTCATACACATATAGGCTAGGCTAGGCATACCTCTAAAAGCAATATATCCAGGTGTAATTCATTAACGGCGTCGAAACGACCCAACAGCACCAAAGACCGAGAGGTTAGCTGCAGCCGTTTGAGATGGCGCCCGGCCTCCACCAGTTTGTGACGCCTGCGATCGTAGAAATTGCTCCAGCACACCTTGGAGAGCTTGGGGGCGACGATATGATGTGAGCATCGTCGATGCCTTCACCCGACAAGCACAGGGACAACTCCTGGAGCTCTGGGGTGGCAACTTTGAGCGGACCGTCATAGAGAACATGTCATAGGCAACCACCCGTAGCTTCTCAAGTGAGTCCGATCGTATGGAGAGGATATGATGTCTGCTCAGCAGGATGATGTTTTCCAGGAGGAGCTCCTTCAAGAGTGAGCAGCGTGAGGACACCATTTCTTCCAATTTGCGGTTCTCCATGCGGGCGGGCTTTATCGTCAGGGCGGCCAGCGCCGTGAACACGCTGCCGGCGTGGCGCAGCTGAAACCGCAGGCGCAGGCGCAGGCGCACGCCCACGGCGGGATCTAAGCTAATGGCCGTAAACCTCCCGCGTACGGGAAGCACGAGCTCCCCGTGCAATGGCAGCGAGAGGTAGAGCTCGCCGGCAAGGCGCTCGGCGGCGAATTGCAGCCACGAACAGACGTGCTCCGCCGTGACATGGCGCGACTCGCACGACAAAGCGATCTCGAGGCGGCGGAGGACCGGAGCGGACCACGCGGCCAGGGCGGCGTCCACGCGCTCGGGGCTGCAGTAGCGGAGGGAGAGCTCGGGGAGGTGGGTCCAGACGCGGCGCCAGCGACGGGAGAGGACGCTGGTGCGCGCCGCGTCGTCGGTGCTCGGAAGGCAGATCAGGATGCGGTGGAGGAGGTGATCGGGGAGGTCGCTGATGCGATCGGCCCCGCCCCCGAGGCAGCTGTCGACGACGACGTTCCCCTGATCCGCGACCATGATCTTCCTGTCGCAGATCTCCAGCGGCGGACGGCGACTTCGACAAATGTTCCCTCCGATGCCGATGTCCTTTTAGTTGCCGCCGCGGTTCGTGTCGGTTCGCCTTCCATTGGGTGTGTCGGCGTCCATGATTCTGTTATGGACTTATTATTGATTGCGGGCTCGACCTTCCCAGATCGATCGTCAATCATCATCGCTTATGGGCCTGCCGCACGGCCCGGCGGCCCGCACCCACGAATCTCATTATCTCAGTCGGACTACCAAAATCAGCTTTTTTTTTCTTTTTGGGAAAGTCAAGCTTACGCCACCAAATTTAGACTATGCCCATGCAATCCTATAAACTACTGATGTTGATTTGATTTGAAACACCCCCCTACTTTATTTGGTCTAATTTAAGTTTTGACGAGATTTACGTTTATTTTTATTTATCTATGTATAAGCTGAGTTTTATTTTCAAAATTTATGAGACGTTCATTAGTATATGTTTATATAATTTTGTATCTCTAGTGTTAAATTTTATTATATTTCCTAACCTATTAAAATAATAATATAGAAGTTAGCATGTATTCCTTTCTTTCCAAATTATAAGTACATACAATATTTTGGTTGTGCACCTATATATAAATTAGGTCTAGATATATAATAAAAATATATAACTAACAAAATAGAACGACTTTTAATTTGAAATAAAGAGAGTACTTTTTTTAACATAATTTTCACCATACGTTTTTCCTGGACGACCATGACAAGTTTGAAAAATTATGTATTAAATGAAAAACTAGCATGTGCTAACAATTTCTAGTAATATATATCATGGCAATTTCTGTTTGGAATGTGGTAAAATTTTTCCTATGTTTTTCTATGAAATTAAACTGATTACAGTAAAAGTCATGTACGATTTCTGCGTTAGAAATAGGCTCTAAGTGTATTACTCTAAATAAGGGGCTTTTGCATTTATATCCCTACTTTGGATATATATGCTGATTTTGTCAACAATTTTTCAACTTTGTGATTTTAGTTTTGATTTGGTCTTTGGTTTTTGGTATTTATTTGGTTGGTTTTTTTGGTATTCAAAACCAACAACCAGTGGTGTTTGTGATTTTAGTTTTGATTGGTCTGCTACCAAAATTTTGTTATGCCAAAAATTTGGCAACGAGAAATTGCCAAAAGTTTAGTGAAAGAAAAATGCCACATATTGGCAATGCAAATGTGAGATGCTAGCAAGTTTTGGTAGTAAACCAAATAGTAGCAACGTCAAGTGATCAGGCTCTTTGTTTCTGCGTTTTTTTAACTAAAGACTAGGTTTGCTCCTATTCCTTTCACGGTCGATTCAGGTATAAAAAAGACAAGTACGCCTACGTGGATTTGCCCTAAATTTTGTGAGTACTATGTGATTTTATCCTATTTTGACATCAAAAATTTAGAAAGCTCTATGACATAATTAAAAAACAATTTCGACAACAAAATTTGATGAAATTTGTTATATTTCAAATTTGAGCAGGAATGGGCATAATACCTGAATTATCTAAACTCGACTCCGAAATACCCAAACCCAAAATACCCAATCACTATTTTGGACAGTAAATTTAGAAACATGATTTTAGTTTGGGTAATTCGGGTATTTGTCCTCAGTAACGATTTACCCAATTTACATGAAATAGAGAAAGATTATATGATATTTAACATTTGTGCTATTATCTAATGCTAATAGTGACGTAATTATAGCCTACTGATCTATGATGCAATGATTCTATTTTTGTCCTAAGATGCTAATAAAATTTGTTGTTTATATTGCTTAAATTTACGGTTATAATTCTATATCTTCTAAATTTTTTTATGATTTTCAAGATTTTGGGTATTTCGGGAATACATGAATCTAAAATTTTGGGTACCCAAAATATCGTGTGCCATTTTCTGAAGAAAAAAAAATTTGGGTATGAAATTTGGAAACCCCAATTAAACAGGTAACCCTGAAGCCTACCCCTATCTTAATCCTTGCTATTGCCAAATGCATTATGCATTGATTTCAATATTTTAGTAAATTCCACGGAGTACCTTCTTGTAATTAAGGTGCTATCGATGAGTTGTTTTGCAAGTGAGCCTCACGTCATCTTCGGATACTTCTATCTCGAAAAACATAGTGCGGACAAAGAGTAATGACCGACGACTAATATGATGGAGATGGACGAGTGTTAGGCATGAACACTGTATTTTGCTTTCTAGTGATGCGTATGGACGAACGATGTTTAAACTTTTCGCTTTGCGAACTTTGAAAACTATATGAGTGATGAGGGTATATATTTGACAAGCATGTCAATACCATTCCGGATAATTCTGTATGGACTTCATCAGGTGACCTCAATTCCGAACCCAGAAACCTGGAATCCTTTGGAATTGACTAATTCAGACCTCCGCGGCGCCGCTCCTCCTCGTCTCGTCTCCCCCGCTAGCGGCCTGCGGCCACAGGTAAATCTCCACCACCCTACCCTCTTCATCCTCCTCACCGGCGCCCTATTCGTCTCCGGTGCTTTTCTGACACGCCCTCACCTCAACCCTCCGCTCCACTCTTCCTGCGAATCCTCTTTCTCCTGCCCTAACCCTACCTGGGAGATGGTGACCAGGTCCATGTTCCCACCGTCGTCACCACCCGCCGCCCGCTGGCCTCCCCCTCCTGCTAATCCCTGTAGCTGGGTTTCTACATCCAACTTCCAGAATCCAGACCCTGCCCCCACCCCACCCCCTACCAACAGATGTATACGCGACCGACTCTGCCTTGCTCGATGCTTTGCTCCTTCGCCGCAGGCCCGCATTGTTTACTATTGGGATTACTGAAGCGTTCGTACTTGCAGGATGCTGTCCTGAACTCCTAGTAGAGCAGCGCCTCGCAGCGAGGCCAGATAAAGAGGTGTAAGACCATAAGGTTCGTTGCAAGATCTCAACTGCGTATTGCTGGTATCAGACGCTAAGGGTTGAAAAAGGAAGAAAAAACAATTGCAATTTTGTGAATTAATCATCTGGATATCCTGTCTCCCATCCCATGTCCCAAATACCCTATCATGATTCACCTGTAGCAACCAAATCTTATAAATCAGGCTTTAACATAATGGACAACCTAATGTGTTGCTTGCCTGATTTTAGCACTACAGATCTGGTATCATGAGTGCAAGTAATGGGAAGAAGAAGTATAGGGGCTATCTTACTTGGACGGATGATATGGATCAGGTGCTCCTGGATGTTCTTGTTGAGCATCACAACAATGGGGATCACACAGCAACCGGGTGGAAGCCACATGTATACACTGCAGCAGTGAGGAATGTGCGGGAGAAGTGCAACGTGGACATCACAAAGGACCATGTGATGTCAAGATGCAAGACGTTCGACAAGCACTGCAATGTACTTGGCAGAATACTCGCTCATGATGGATTTGAGTGGGATCAGGATAGGAACAAGCTTGTGATTCACAATGAGGATGCTTGGAGCAGATACATAGAGGTGGGGCAAATGCATTCGCCTTTGTTAATTTGTACTGAAATAAGTTTGGGCTCATGGTTCAGTTTGATGGTTATTTTGCAGAAAAACAAAGCTGCTGCTTGCTATCAGCATAAAGTTATCAAGAACTGGGGTGCAATAAGCCTAATATTCTCCAGAGATCCTTCTGCCACAAGTGAAGATGTCAGTGCAGGTGCTGAGAATGGCCAAGAGTTGGCAACGAAGTGTGCCGAAGATGTCCAGGACCATACTCCAAGTTCACCTTCAACATCTGGACCTAGCAGTCAATACCGTCCTGGACCACCCTTAATGACCCAATCAAACAAACAAGGCAGGAGGAAGAGGTTCAGAACAAATGATGCTCTCTTTTGCATGTCTGGTGACATCAAAAATTCGTTCCAAATATCTATGAAGTCAAATGAGACTCTAGATGAGCCAAACAGTGCATCCCCTAAGGAAATCTTTGCAACACTTCAAGCAATACCCAACCTAGCACGTGATGACTTGCTAAGGGCCTATCGTATCCTCACAAGCAGTGATCGTAAGTTTGAATGTCTTAGGGTACTTCCAATGGACATGAGGAAGGATTGGTTGTTGATGGAGATTGGGAAGAAGTGAGGTTCAGACAATATCTATCCTTATGCCAGTTCTATCTTAGGATCGCTAGCATTGTTTAAACTTGGAAGTTTGTTCTGTAACGTCCAACTCTTCACTGCAATGTATCAATCTATGTGTTTGCTCAATATATGTGCCACTGCTTAATGTTTATTTGTCATGTCCAGTGCCCTAATTTAGTTTGCTTGCTGTTTTTGCGTAATCACTATGTGTGTACCACACCGTACCTCCTTAAGTTCTGATGTTCCTGAGAACAAACACGATGTGTTCCCAGTTAACCTTGTGTACTGTTAGAATATCGGTGCTCTTTTTCTATTGCTTCCACGTCATCTAAGTGAAATTGTATATGATAAGGGCAAAGCCAATAGTGTGTTTGTTTCTTTTAGGCAATAAACATGTAATACATTTCCTTTGTATTGCCCTAGACAAATTCTAGAAATGTCTACGTCTAAATACAATTTGGAAAAGCTGGAATTGTAATTCCATGTTACAATTCATTCTCAGCAAAAATACTGGAATTGAGTTATAAACCAATGTCAATTCCAATCTTCCAACTCAAATTTTGAGGTCTGGACAGACCCTGTATTTGTCTCCTATACCAAGATCCTCACTTCTTGGTGTCATGTATTTAACCTATTTTCATTGCAAATGATCAAGATGTATGTCTTCCCTTCCCCTAGGTGATTAGGAAGACAAAATGAAGATATTGTTGATTCTGTCATCTTGCGCAAAAGCAGAGCGTGGCAATCAGCATGTTGTGCTTCACCTGATGAATATATAACCACACATCTTAGCAAAAAAATACATTTATTTATCCAATAAGCTTGAAAACATATACAGCAATGTACAAGCATCAGACCAGTACTAACCTTCTGTTGAAATGTTCTATAAGATCAGGAGAAGGTTTATGATTCTATCAGGTGGTATCAGTAATTATGTCTAATTTCCTATGCAACCCTCATGTGTTTCATGTATCTTAAAGCTGACCGCAGCATTGCTCTAGCTTTTCGATCAGGGGCACAGCCTGATGTGATCATTTCTTCATAGATAACAGGAACCTGTTAAATCATTGGCAAAACCGCAAGGATCAGAATTAAGGTCATGTCTATTGCACCAGTGGAGCTTGCAGTTTTACGGCTATATAAATTGTTCAGGAACTATAGATTTTAAATATAAGATAACTAATTGGTTTACAAGATATAAAAAGCAATAGCTTCTACTCTAATTATCTGAGAAGAACAAAAGCTAGATATCAAATGGATCAGATTTATTAGATCTAATGGATTTGATAGCATGTAACGTTAGCAGGTAAGATTTTGATCATCTGAGGTGTGTCTACTTTATCGTGGCAAGGAGAAAGGAGAAACACAAGAGTTTGTGACTTACCTTATCAAACTGCTCAACACGTATTAAAGCTTTCATCAATGTTGTGTATGTTATAACATCAGGCCTCAAACCCTGCAGTATGAAATGCAGAACATATCAGACTTCCATTACACACAGACGAATTGCCAAAGACAGTATGATAAAAAAGAATGACAGTCGACAAGTAACATGAGTGTCTGAAGCAGATCAAAATAAGAAGATGTGAAAATCAAGACTCACATTCTCCTTCATGAACTGCAGCACAGAGAAGGCTTCAACAACCCTTCTATCTTCACCAAAAGCATTAATCAACGAATTCAACACTAAGATGCTAACCTCCAGGCCATCTGCTTTCATAGCCTTGACCACATTTAATGCATGGTCTGCTAAACCCTGTAGATAATCATGCATGGACAGTGAGAACCCAAAATTTTAATTTGAATAAGATAATTTACTTAATCTGGCTGAAATGTATCAACACTACGGCCCTAGTTTGTGTACTCAACTAAGCAAACAATCATATTATACAAAAACTTTAGAAACCAACTAGGTAGATACCAAAGTCAGAACATATAGATTCCACTTGTAATTAGATTGTGCAGGTCAATTGTTGGCAGAATAGTACTGGGTATCATGAAGTAAATCTCAACAGTAGCATAACAGCTAATCAATTCTGCATCAAGGCTTTCGGGGTGGGTTATCTGGTCATAACCAGGTGTCGGTACAGGATATTTGTTGGTAACTATAGTTGAAAAATATGCTACAATATAAGACTTCCTTACCCTTTGAGCATATGCATTGACTAAGGCATGGTACATAGTAGGCGATGGCTTGAGGCCATCAGCTTTCATCGCTTCAATGCAATCAATTGCCTCCTTGTATCTACCGGACCTTCCATACACATCCACGAGAGTAGTATATGTGATAATGTTGGGTACCAGTCCCTGCTCCTTCATCTCTGATAGCATTGCTTCCACACCCTCCCAACGTTCTTGCTCTCCGAATAAATTTATCATGATGTTGTATGTGGTCGTGCCTGGTGGGCAATTGCTTTCACGCATCTCCTCAAACAGCTCCATAGCACGGTCATGCCGCCCTCCTTTACAATGTGCATCAATGAGAGTATTCCATGTGACAACATCTGGCTCAATCCCTTCTTCTCGCATTCTGTCAAAGGCATCCATAGCATGCCCAAGGCAGTTGTACTTCCCAAATGTATCTATCATGACGTTGTAGAAATGCCGATCTGGCCTTACTCCACTAGCCTGCATCTCTCGGAGCACTGCGAATGCCTTTTGCCAATCCCCCCTGTCACGGAATCCTGCAAGGATCCGACTGAACACATACGAGCTTGGTTTAACTCCATCAGCCTCCATCTCCTTCAGCAGTATCCTCGCACTTTCCCACCTCCCAGCCCTTGTGTACGCGTCCACAAGCAGGCTGTAAGTGGCCTCGTCTGGGGCGACTCCGCATTGTGACATTTCTTCGAGAACTTGCTCTGCATTCTTGAGCGAACCAATCCTGACATACCCTTTGAGCAGCGCGTTGTAGGCACGCGTCAGCGGCTTGATCTCCCCAGCAAGGAAGAACTCGAGGAACAGCGCCTCCGCCTCGGCGACGCGCCCCGCAGAGCCAAGCGCGGAAATGAGCGCGGTGACCGCGTTGGACCGCGGCGTGAGCCCGATTGCCTGCGCGGAGGCGAGGAGCTCGAGCGCGGCGTCCGGTAGTGCCGCCCGCGCTAATGCAGAGATGAGGTCCGAGAAGAGCGGCGCGTCGGGCTCGAGCCGTGACTCCCTGAGGTCACCGAGGAGGCGCTCGAGCAGCGCGGCGTCGGGCGGGTCCCGCGTGTTGAGCAGCGAAGCGAGGAGATGCGAGTAGGACGCGAGGTCCGGGAGGAAATCGTGCTCGCGGAGCAACGAGAGCAACCGGAGCGCCACGGCGGGGCGCGAGGCCGCGGCGGAGGCAGCGAGGAGGGAGTTAAGCAGCAGCGGGGACGGCGGGTCGGAGAGCGACGGCGGGAAGGAGAGGAGGAGGGAGTGCGGGAGAAGGCGGCCGGACACGGAGAGCGAGTGTAGGAGAGACGAGAGGAGGAGGTCGAGCGGGAAGCAGAGACGGTGACGGTGTAGGAAAGGTAGCAGCGCGAAGGCCACCGGCAGGGACGCGTCACTGGCGGCGAGGTCACGCAGCAACGCATGCCACTCGTGCGACGGGACAGCCGAGTAAGTCGCGGCAAGGCGGTGCTCGGGCGCCGGAACGGATGCCGGCGGGGATGGCGAGGTGAGGGAGGCCGCTACGGAGGGGGACGAGAGGTGGGCCAGGAGGGGCTCGAAGTCGTAGCGGCTCGCTGGGACGGAGGCCGAGGAGGAGGCTGCGGGTGAGGTAGTGCAACCGGCGGGAGCGAGGCGGCGCAGGTAGTGGGGGTGGAAGGTCGAGGGGAGGAGGGAGGCGGGCATGGTGGAGCGGAGGCGGACGGAGGCGGACGGAGCGAGTGGTGGAGGCGCGGGCGCGGGAGGGAGGGAGACGGCACACGGGGTTTATCTGGTTTTGGATATTTCCCCGTTCGTGCCTTGGGTCATGGTTGAAGCCAGAACTTCATTGTGGGACCCATATGAACAGCATGTACGACTATTACAAGGTTGAAGGTTGCATACCTAGATCCTTGTCGCGGAAAGGATTTCTGTCTCTTCGATGGTCTCAAAGCAGTTTTCACCGGTGCCAACGCACCACATGTATAACCTTTTTTTTTTCTCTATACGTTTGAACTTATCGGTCGTACCGTTTCAACGAAATACTGTATTTTTTTCTCACAACAAATCAGCATCAGTTATTTTTTCAGCCAGCCGAACAGAGCCTTTGTGTACATATAGTTTTAGCGTTTGTAGATCCTTATAATCGTCATTGACAGAGCTACATCAAATGAGAGAGTGTGTTTTATATTGTAGGTGTATAATTTTTTTTGCGCAGATGTACGTATATAGCAAAAATATGATTATAATAACTGGTTTTTGTTTTTTCATATGTTGGCACCCTACAACCTATATAGATCCGCCGTAGTTATCATGGAAAGGATTCTAGCTTCTTCGAATGCCTCATGAACTTTTTCGCTGATGCTAGTTCACCACGTGTGAATCTTCAATGTGCAAATATGTGTTTAGAGTCTGTTAGATCCTCTGCTCTAAACTATAAAGCACTAAACTTTAGATCAAAAGTCTCAAAATATGTGGTCCAAAGTTAACTCTAAACTTTAGCCCACCTCAAATTAGAGTTTTAGACCTCAAAATGAGCTAAAGTGCTCTAAATATTTTAAAGCTCTAAAGTTTAGAGGAGGAGATCCCAACAAGCAATTAGTGTGGTTGCCGCATGCCCAGCAAGTGTCTACCTCCGATTCACACAATGAAAAATAAACATGTCTTTGCTTCATCGATACATGGCAGGTATCTAGCCTGCGGTTAGATAGGCATTGCCACAGGCAGCATCTTGATGCACATGCCTACACTCTGACCCTGATGATGTTCTTGGTTTAGCTACCTCAAATCTTTATGGACTCTTTGGAATGTGGGCTTCTTGAAAACAGAGAGTAGGAAGAACTTAGAAAACTATAAGAGTGAACATTTGGATAGAAAGCAGAAAAACACATAAATTCAATTAGGGCATCTTTGGAACACGAAATTCTAGAAACTCAGTAATAGGAAAAAGGTAGGAATAGAATGTTGTCACATCTTGAATCATACGGATTGATGAAACACAGGAAACTGCAAGATTGATTGTTTGGATGGAGTGTAGGAAGTCAAGGAAATTCCACAAGAGTGAGTGACACAAACAAAAACTTTCCATGAAGTTCAACCTCTCGGTAAAATTCATATGAAACAAGCCATTCTATAGTAATTACATATGATGTTCGTCTAGGAGTTTTTTTTACATGTAATCACTTCGATGGTGTTCATAACAAAGTCGTCGTTGTTGGCATTAATTTCATCAGCTGGAGGTTAGTTTATGGTTACTATCTATAAAAAAAAGGAAGGTTCCCCTAATCACTCTCCATATATAGGGATAGTAACTCTATAGGTCATCGTCTTCATCGCTAATGGCTACAGAGTAAAAAAAATCAGATAAACAACTTGATAGATCAAGGCTTGGAGATGCTTAATCTGCAACATGTTTTATCTCAATGATTCATCCATCATTGTTCTTTCATTGCTTTAGATGTACTTCAGTCTGATTCTAGAACGTTGGTTCTCCCGGTATGCCCAATATTTTAGGGTTCATCGACGAATTTAGCATGAGGACTTCAGCTTGCCGTGGTGTTTGACAGAGCTCTCTTGTTTGGAGCATTGACTACATTGACGAAAGCTACTAGTAAAAAAGACAATGGAAGGACCTAGATTGAACATTATATTATGTCAAACTTTAATATATTCTTGTTCATTTCCCTTCAATCAAAAGAACAATGCATCAGGTATAAACTCTCATTTGCACATTTAGGGCAGTCCCAACTCAGAAATTATAAGATAATTTTTGTATTTACCAAGTCATATAGACACTATACTCATTCTCAATAAATGATTTGTTCAAAATAAAACTTTATCCAATCAGGTGTATAATATCTCCTATTATGTACGTATTACATCTTTTTTATCTTATTACATAGTTTTTTTATAAAAAAATTATTTCTCTCTCTCGCCTCCTTAATTCTAATGTCATGTCACTATTAAAAATTGATTGATGCCTTAATTAATTGTCATAGAAATTATCCTAACTAGAAGAACGCTTCGCGCGTTGATGTGTGAATCGCTGGTGAAATTATACTACTTATATTTCCTAATATGATTGAATAAATATCATAATACATATTAGTGGATGTTTTTTAGCATTCTAATGTGGACAACTAAATATATGTTAGTAAATGATGTGGTTTGTTAATGTGAACAGCTTCAATGAAAACATAATGTCATGTGTTAGTTTGGATGTGTCAGTAGATGCTAATGTGGACACTTTGCATGGCGAGATAGTTGATGTGCTAGTGGGATGTTTTAGTGGATGCTGATGTAGACATTTTGCATCACAAGATAAATTGCTAGTGACATTTATCTTTATAAGAGATATAGATTTGTGGTTGGGAGTTGAGACTACCTTATATATAGTACAAGTTTGTGATTTCAAAATTTCAATTTCTCACGTTATTTGCGGCAATCGACAATCGACAATTGAAAAACGATAGTTGGGCCACAAACGCCACACAGGCCTTTAGTTTTTCCGGAGGACTGTCTCTGGCCTTTAGGTGACTTGGAAGCATGGGCCGAACGCGGACCCAATAATACACCTCACGTCCAGCTCACTCGCCGAAACCCACGACTTCCCAATTCCGCCCTTCGCCGGAGGCAGGCGGCGCGCTGGCGATGTCGTCCTCTGTTCGCCCGATCCTCCCCCTCCTCGAGGCCACGGAGTCGCCGCGGCAGCCGGCCGCCCTCCCCGACGACCTCCTGGCGGAGATCCTGGTCCGGGTCGCCTCCCCTGCGGACCTGGCCCGCGTCTCCACCGCATGCGTCTCCTTCCACCGCCTCATAACCGACCCCATCTTCCTCCGTCTCTACCGGTCGCTCCATCCGCCTCTCGTCCTCGGCCTCGTCAACGAAGAAGCTTCGAACCCGCCAAGGCGCCCCATCCTGGCGCTCCCGCCGGCCGCGCTATGGCCCGCACCGCGGACTTCTCCTTCGACTACGTCCCTCGCGGCAGATGGGACGGCTGGTATTCTTGCGAAATCTACGACGGCCGTGTCCTTCTTGAGTGCTTGTGCCCCGACTCCGACCTGGAGGTTGTGTTGTCGGACCTCGCGGTCTGTGACCCGTTGTCCCGGCGGTACCTGCTGCTGCCTCCCATACCTGACGGCCAAGCCTACGAACAAAATCTCAAACATTATGATGTTCGGTTTGCCCCCTCTGTCGACGAGGACGACGAGACATCATTCAGAGTGATCATGGTGATGCATTGCGACCAAGAGTTAGTGGTGACCGTCTTCTCTTCAGGGTTGGGCTCTGGCAGCTGGAGTGTCAGTGCATCAACCAGCTGGGATAGCCTAAGGTTGAGCAGACCAACAAAATTCTCTCAAGAGCTTTGTTATCCCTCTTATGCATATAACTGCCTCTACTGGAAAGTGCGTTTGAAGAACAAGTTGGTCAAGCTCGACATGAACACGAAGAAGTTCTCCACCGTCGACCTCCTGCCTGAACACGAGGAGCGGATTATCCTCATTGTGGAGGAAGGTAACGACATGCTTGGAATGTTTAGTCACCATATCTACGCCAAATGGTCGCCCGCGCGTTACTACACCAGTGTGCAAAAAGAGGGCAATATAGCTAATGAGTGGCAGCTGAAGAATATATATAATACCGATGCCCATTGCCGATTGTTGCATATACTTCGTTTGTGAACCTCAACGGTACATTTTCCTGGCAGACTACACATCAGGATGTTTCATACTTGATTTCAAGACTATGACGTTTGAGAGGGTCAATACGAAGTGCCAAGATGTTCAACCCTATCTTGGGGCAAAGAGGGCCATGTTGAGAGCGATCGTCGATTGTTGTTCGGCCATGGCTTTTTTGTTCTTGTTGTGTTTGGTATGAAATCGAACAGAGATGGTTGATGATGGTGTCCCCAGCTCGCGAGTCACGAGCACTATATATAAGAGGGAGAAAGATCAGAGTGGAAATTAAAGTTCATCAATTCCGGCCTGCAACTGCACAAAAGTTACGATCACAGCTTTACTCTTTTTTTCCTCTATCTATAAACGCGAAAACGCCTCAGTTTCGGAGGATGTACTTATGTCATTATGTGTATTCATTTTGCAGTTTCCGTAGTTTAGTTTGTATTCCTCGCTACCTCCTCTTGCAATATACTCACTCAGTCCCAAAAAAAAAAAATACAATTCTAACTTTCTGAGAAGTTAAACAGTTTTAAGTTTGATCAAATCTATATAAAAAAACTATACCAGATAAATATTATTAGATTTTTATGAAACATATTTTCATAGTATAACTCTATTTGGAGACATAAACGTTGATACTATTTTCTATATAAACTTGGTCAAACCTAAGAAAAAATAACTTATTTTAAACATAGTATTGCATTTTTATTGGATGAAGTAATAATATAATATATTAATGTCTTTCATTTATTAGCAATGTACATGGATTAAATATGCTCCAATGGCGCGTATTACTTTACTCTGGATAAAATAAGAGCAACTTCAACATATCTCTTATATCTCTTTTCCCCTATAATCTGCTATAGATAGTGTTTTCCTAAACGCTAAACGGTAAACAGTCGGTCACCTACCGTTTAGCCATTATTCGGGCAAAACGTCCCATTAAACGGGCTAAACGGCCAATTAAACGGGGTAAACAGGTGATTAAACGAAAACAGCGCACCACCGTGTAGCGTTTACACGGTGTTT